TAAGCTTGCTGTTCGGTGTGAGCCAAGGCTCCGTGTTGAAGGCCGTACTTTGCCCTATTATTGTTTACTTTTTACGCATTGTGACTTGGATGAAGAATTGTCTCGTTGGCACTCATACCACATCTTCTTATTTCTATGATATAAACCAAATTTTGACAAATAATTGAAAAGTTATGGATTTGTATTTTGAACCCTCATCTACCTTAAAGATTATATTCAATACATCATAGAATGACCATTATAATGCAACAAAAAATATGTGTGGTCAATGATCGTATAAACATGATGATATAGAAACGATGTCGTTTTGAAATATTGCTATTACGAATGTAACTTAAACATCTTTAATATTAAATTTGTTGTTTTATTAAACACTCTTAATATTTAAATATTCTACGGCACGCAGTGTTATCTTGATTATTGTTTTAGTTTTCATCGGTTTGCAGCAAATTGTGAATCCTTCCTTTGTTTCCTATTGCTAATGCTTAATTATTGATATGTTTTGCTGTCAACATAAATGTGTTTCGTATACATATTTTTTGTTCAATCCTATTGCATTTTATTTTGCAATAAAATATTCTTAAATCAAAATCTTATCTCAACTACTAAGTAATATAAATATAAAAATGTTGGAGGCGCGTTTCGTGCACAATAGACCCATCAGTAACTCTCGAATCAACATAGTTAAAAAAAGTCAAATAAAGTACGAGGTTGAAAAGCAAATGATAACTCTGTTTTTGTATCTAAGTGACAATTTACCTACCGTATGTCGAGATATTTTGGCTGCAGTATATTTTTTGTTTACTTAGCACGTACGGTAAAAGGGAGAAGTTTAAACATACTATATGATCAAAATAATGCAATTAAATTGTCACTGTTCAATGTGATTAATCAAAGATCTGTTTTTAATGTCATGAGTATAGCGATATGAGCAATGATAATGATAAATCCTAATTATTTAATCTGATAAGAGAAAAACAATTACACTAATTATGATACGGATCAACACATCGTGTATTGTTATAAGGTCAATTGTCCTATGGTGTTTGTCACTGATGTTTTGTATTTTGTTCTATTTCAGTTGTCATCATTTTTTTTAGATATTAAAATCAACTAATTACTAAAACCGCATTTCCCAAAGCACCAAAGTGCCAAAATTTAACACACAATAATTTCACTACCACTTTATTGTGGAAAACCGACAAAATATTCCTATATCAAATGTATGGGATATATGTGTTACGATCCATTTAGAACATGAAGAACACTCCTACTATGAATTTCGGAAAATATTGTTGATTATAAGCCAAGAAAATATATTAAAAAGGTTTTTTTTTACAGATAATTAATTTAGATTTAAATATACTATTTTAATGAAAGATTGTCTATTTTATGATTTTTACTTTTGTCTTTTAAAAGGGATTTAATTTCCATTTTCGTGATGGTTTCTTTGCATTATCCATGAGCACCTATAGCATCAATTCAGTTCTTTGACAAATCCTTAAATCCGTGCAACAACAAAAAAAACGCAGGCAAATTAAAATAATTTGATTAAACTCGACTTGTTTATGACCTAACATCTAATACATGTACCCAATTTTTTATACAAATCCAGAACAGATGTTCAAACTTGTACATAATAAATTCGTTTCATCTCCTTTCGATCTGACTTGGGACAGGCACATAAAGAATGTGGCGGGGTCTGTGAGCGCTCAACCCTCCCCTAACTTGGGACAGTGGTGTTACAGCACAACATAAAAACAAACTATAAAACAATCAGTTGATAAGAACTGAACTCATCAGATCGATACAAAGCAGAAAAAAACATCTAACAAAAACACAGACCGAACGTGGCAGGATACAGTATTTATACATCCTTAACAAAATAAAGATACAAAGTACAGATCTGAGAGTACTTGCAGTTACAGTCAATAACATTTAATTTAAAAAAAAATTATTTTAATTTACTGATAACAAAATCAATATTTAAACCAATATAAACAATATTCAAAGATTTAATTACTGTGTTAAATTGGTAACCTTTTAGAATAAGTTTGTTTAAAGGATTGATAATTTTACCTGGATCGTATCTAAACGTCCGGCCTCGGTAAACAGGATCACCGTAAAATTTAGGATTTGCTATTCCGTTTGAAATATGTTTTCTACAGGTACAGCCAAACTTGCAAACTGAATCTTTGTATCCATGGAAGAATTTAGTCAGTTTGTTCTCGACTTATGAGTATGGATACCGTTTTGATAACTTTTGCCTCTCTTTTTTCACTCGGAGATATCAATGCATTAACTTATCTATTTGGGACGAACAAATTAAAATATCTACATAAGAAAAGACTTTCTTTTTATAGTTTTGACAATTACTCACAGTATGTTTACTTTGACATTTTTCAAATCAAAGTTGTATAAAGATCTTTAATTACACAAAATGAAGTCAAATCCGTAAATATTGAATGTATTTTTCTTTAAAATTGTCTAACTTTATGTTGACATGAAAAAGTTAATACACATATCATTAACATTGAAGGTTTCAGAACTAAGTTTAGCCTAAATAGCTCTGTATGCTATATTGAGGTATATTTATGAAACTTAATTTTGGCGAATCCGGATATTCCTTTTTTCTTTCGGTCAAATAGATGATTAAGTATTCAAGTGTTTATACATCCTTGGCCTACAAGTTATTGGGAAAAGATCTTCGAACGCACCTAATGTATAAAGTTTTATTTTCCATGTTTGCCGAAAACTGGAATACTGTGTTACTTATAGTTGTTTTTAATAAAGTATGGTATATACAATATATATATATATATAAATCGATTTGTTTGTTATGTGTTGCTATATATACATGTATATATACGTTGTTGACGTAGTTGTCCAAGTCTAGCATTTTGCTTATTTTAAGTTGAACTTATTCTCTAAATTCGCATTGCATGACTGAAAAAGAGAGGTGAAAGATACCAAAGGGAAATTCGTAATTCATGCGTAGTATGCTACTGGCCGCATGATGTCCTCGGGGACGAAATGTCCACCAGCAGAGGTATCGACCTAGGGATACCGCGGGAGCAGGGTTAAGGATAGCAACTTTTTGGAGAGAGAAATTTGTGTTATCTGATTTTCATCTTCTGAAGATCCGTTATCATGGTTATATATATTTATATCACTTCATCGGTTGCATTCATAGAAGAACATATTAATGTCTGTTTTCTTTTCATCAGTTTTATCAGTAGTGTTTTAGTGATATTTTTTTAACATTGTCATAAAGCGGGAGGTTTGGCATGTCATGAAACCAGGTTCAATCCACCATTTTTCTTAAAATGTCCTGTACCAAGTCAGGAATATGGCAGTTGTTATCAAATAGTTCGTTTCTATGTGTGTTGGCGTTTGGTTTTGTTGCACTTCGGTGTTCCTGTTGTTCCTTTGTTTTCCTCATATAGTTGATGTGTTTCCCTCGGTTTTGGTTTTTGGCCCGGATTTTGTTCTCTCAATTTGAACACCGGTATACTACTATTGCCTTTATTTATAACAAACGGACGAAATCACAAATTATGAGAGACAACTGAAAACTATAAGCAATAGAAAAAATGGACTGTACCATGGTAAAACAAGACGTTCGTATAAACAAACTTAAAAAAACACTATCCTCAAAACTACTTATAAGGCAACATGAACTCTAGTTAACAACGTGGTGATGGAGGTGTTCAATGATTGTCAGCACCTTCTCGGTTACTGTTGTCTTTCCAATGCAGTCAATTTTCATCAAATGAGTTACTTTTTGCAAAATATTGGGATAGAACCAATATGTATACTATACCCAGAAATACAAGGATGTCTGTACAATGAAACTGCTAAAAAACCAAGATATGCAATCATAGAGAATCAGAAAACGGAAAAACAACTATGACGGATTAATTGTTTTTAGTTGGGAAAGGTGTATCCGAATTGAAGTACTAAACAAGCAACGTGATTCTTATAAATTGGTGTGTATCATATTTGCTTTCCGTGTACTGTTTGGTCATTAATCAAGGCGACAAAGTACCTTTTATTTTCGGTGGTATCCTCACTTTAAGTTCATTGGGATATACATGATATATGAGATGTAAGCACTCATTGAATGGTGGCCTAATGATCGACAGTACTTCATCAATATATCTAAAAGTGAAATTGAAGAACTTTTCACTATGCTTTTATTTTTGTCTTTGAGAAGGTTCTGTATGGATTCTGCTTTATGAGTATAAAAATGAATAAGCCGGTAGTGGTTCAAAATTAGTGCCCATCGCAATACCGACTTCCAGTTGAATGATCAATCTACCAAACTCAACAAATATGTTGTCGATGGAAAAGTCTAGTATTTTGATTATATCATCTTCGGTTGTGAGAATTAGCGTTGCTCTTCAGAAAGTAAGATTAGTCATGACCCAAAACAAGGAACTTGTATTTATGTTTCCTTTTTTTGTAGAACAAAATCTCTGTTTATTAAGACGATAACTACCTAAAATCATTTTTAGACAAAAATCGAGCTACCAGAACATACTTACAAAATCTATTACTTTTTTATTAAGTTAGTTTTCAGCTGTGAAGTGTTCTATGGATTTTAGTTTGTTTTGTTTCTTTTATCGAGGATGATCTGTCTTTTGTTTACATTTGATTTTTGATGTACATTTTTTAAAATGATTGACTTTTTTAAAATACAAATATCATAAGAAGGAGATGTGGCATGATCGTCAATGAGACAACTATCCAACTGAGATCATATGAAGTGGATGCAAGTAATTAAAGGCTACCGTACGACCTTCAACAATTAGACAAGCCCATGCCATACAGTCGGCTTTTTAAGACCCCGACATGAAATACCATTCTCAAACTAGCTGTACATTCCAAATTGGCAGTATTCCCAGAAAGCCCTCTGTCCCATTATTGTAAATATAAGAAGACGGAGGAGTTTGTAAAACACACAGCAACCAAACTTCAAAAATAACAAAAAAGACAACTAGAGGAGAATTCTTTTTTTTTACATAAACTGATACAAAAAAGAGAAAAAAAACTTTAAATGAAAAACAAGTTGTCAAATTAGATAATACGTTCCCAAATTTAGTTGTAGCTTCTATCGTTTATATATGGAAATAGAAAGACAATGACCATTAATTTAGACAATTGTTATTTTAATAAACTTTTAACATCGTGTCTGTTTTTAGAAACATGACACTGCTGACCAATAACACTGTCTAGTGCGTTTAACTTTCTGATTGTTCCGAATGTAATTCATTAAATCGTCCCGATCTTCTAATAACAGTTTGATTAGACTAGGTTTGTTGGCTATCCTGAGTGGTCTGTCCATTGACGGATTTACAGCAAGATTGTCTGCAAAGTCAACTGGTAGATCGTCAACTGCTGAAGGTTCCTGGAAACAAAAATCAGAAACATTTAAAGCATTGAATGTTTACCTTTCTGTATGTGTTTACCTTCAATTCAATAAAGAAAAACAGATCGACAAATAGAATAATGTTGTTTTTGTGCGCGTTTTTAGTCTACTGATCGAGATTTAAAAAGGGGGAGAGTTGAGATCTCAAAAACAAGTTGAACTCCTTAACATTTGTATATGTTTGTCCCAAATCAGGAATCTCGTCTGCAGTTCTTAATGTTTGTTGTTATTTTTAGGAGTGGAGTTAATAGCAGACCATTGATCTTTCCTCTGACATTTACTCACAACTTGATAAACTACGGACGATTTAGAACATAGCACGCCTGTTTAATTTTTAAGACAGTATGTTTTCCACTAGATGCAGTATGACTATTTTTATCTTTGGGTTGCTGTTTCATTGGTGTATACTCCACAATCTACTTTTATTCAAACATAAAAGATAATACAGCTTTACGTGGAACATTTTTAAAAATGGTAACAAAAATGTTTAGGGAAAAATTCATCATAAACTATTTGTAACTGTTAGAAATTTTAAAGTTATTTATTGTTTATTTGATAATAAATTGTCGAAACATATTTCCATTTTGTATGGAAGTTTGATTTAGTAGTTTGTTTTTATTTCTAAGATTATATGAACTATAATAATAATGAAATAACGTTAGAGGCAACACATATACCGATGTCTAAAACATGATTACAAAATGCAGGCAAAAGATACCGAAGGGATATTCAAAGTCGAAAATAAACTGACAACGCCATGGCAAATAATGAAAAAAGACCAAAAGACAAACAACAGTCTACAAACACAACATCGAAAACTAAAGACTGTGCAACACGAACACCGCTAAACACCGGGGTGATCTCAGAAGCTTTGGAAGAGTAAGAAGATCCTGCGTCACATCTGTCAATTTAAGGATTTTACACAGTTTAAGGATGTCTCATTCAATCCAATTTTTTTTTAAATAATAAAAGCCCGCTCAAAGTTGTTTTCTCACTCTTTTCTAATTCCTAAAATTATGTTAACTGGCTTGGGATAATAATTTGTAAATGTGATGTATAGGACTGACTAGGAACTGATGTAATGTGTTTAAATATCTAGTTTGTTAATTTGATTAAATATACTTGTGTGTTAGGTATCTACATAAAACAACAATTACACAACCTTCTCATTAATTTATGCAGGTTTGTTTTATAAAATGAAGAAATGTGAATCTCTGTAACTTTAATTACTTGTCATAAAATAGCTGAATTATATACAAAGCATCATAGAAATAGGGAATGAAATTGTGTTTACTGTACTACAATATAGTACAGTGATAACGCTAACTTTCGGAGGTGGTTAAATGCATAATTCATACAACTTAGCGGCATGCACATTTCTCAACTGAAATAACATAATATTTCCTTTAAATGTTTTGTAATTTCTTTTATTTCATAATTTTTTTCCCATTTCAAGCAAGTCCTGATTTGAAAAAGAGCACATTAAGGATGTTATAAAACACCCAGCATTTTCATTTTCACTTCCACACTATCTCATTCTGAATGGTTTTACATTTTCATTCCATTCTGCTTATTAATGTTGAGGGCCGTAGTGAGGATAGATAATTAATTCAATCGACAAAAATTACGAAACTTTATTTATTTTTTTCTTAAATGACTTTCCCTATTAATGCAATGGGTTAAGAAATATTTATATTTTACTGTTTAACTTAATTCAAGCTAAACTATATTGAACTTTATTTAAAGCACTCAGGTTTATCTCATTCGCAAAAAATGTTCGATGGTAGTATAATGCAGATGTGATATGATTGCAAATGAGATATCAATTACCATTATGTGACACGCAGTTTATATTTCGTTTCTGGTGTCCTGGTGTGCAGTCGTAAATTCATGGGAGGTGACTGTTGTTATTCTGCGGTTTACATGTTGTAATGTACTGTCATATTATTTATTTATGTATTGCTCTATGCTGAGTGTTCTTGCTTTTATTTGTACTGTATTACTGTCACGTAGTGTTGTCATTTTAGCGGTACTTTTAACATTGTCATATAAGCGGGAGGTTTGGCTAGCCATAAAACCAGGTTCCACCAACCATTTTTTCTTAAAATATCCTGTACCAAGTCAGGAATATGGCAGTTGTTATCAGACAATTTTGTTCTATGTATGTTGGCGTTTGCTTTTGTTGAAGTTCAGTGTTTCTGTTGTTCCTTTGTTTTCCACTTAAAGTTTATGTGTTTCCCTCGGTTTTAGTTTGTTACCCGGATTTGTTTTTGCTTAATCGAATTATGACTATTGAACAGCGGTATACTACTGTTGCCTTTATTTACCAGTCTCTGTACAATGTATATTGTATAAATATGTATAGAACTTGGTCTCAATTCCGGTTTGAGGGTGGGGTGGAGGTATCGTTATATTGAAAACCAAAATTCGTAGCCTTCATAAAATATTTTAAATTCTAAACGAATTTTAAGATATTGAATTTCATCGGCAAATAGATTTGTTTAAAAGTAAAAAAGGAAAGAAAGATAACCTGAGCAAATCTAAGGTTGACGGAAATAAATCACATCATGACCAGCGGACGAACAAACAAATAACAGTCCACAAAACAACAGACAGAAATAGATCACATCATGACCAGCGGACGAACAGACAAACAACAGTCCAAAAAATACAGACAGAAATAGATCACATCATAACCAGCGGACGAACAGACAAACAACAGTCCACAAAATACAGACAGAAATAGATCACATTATGACCAACACATAAACAGATTTCATGGGCAAGTCTAAGAAAAGGTCGAGGAAAATAAATCACATCATGACCAACGGACGAACAGTCAAACGACACTCCACAAAAAAACAGACAGAAAAATTAAGAGAGAACAGTGCAATTCAAAGCAAAACACGTGGATATCCCTGGTGTCTGGAAGGGATATCATTTCCTTAAACAGTAACATGCAAAGTAAGAATAAACTGATGACAATATAAAATTTAGATTCACTGTGTCAACTTGGAACATTTGACGAGCTTATAGTTTGAAAGCCAAGATGGTATATACATTCTATAAAAGCGGGGCGAAAAAAGAAATTCAATCAAGTAAGAAATATCTATTAAATAGTATGCCTCTTTTTTAATTTTTCTTATATGTGTTTTCTTATAACATCAGATCGATAACATAGGCAATCTCTTGGCATACGTTTTACCTTGTGTTTCAATTAAAATAGAGGTTACATTTTTTTATAATATCGTTTGCATATGTACTTAGGTCAACAAACCGTTGGCTTGAATAATTTCTTTTTCTTTTTTTTCTTTCAGTTTCATTTTTTTGTAATTAGCTATGGTAACTGCTTCGATAATATCGAATGAATTTCAAAATCTTAAACTCGAAAAAAAATGATACATCATACATCTTAATATTGTATCTTTTTTTTTATTTTCCGCCTAATATTGTCTATTCTAGTTGCTATACTGAGAGATCTTCATGATGTGAATATCTCTGTACGCTTTCGTGCTAACTGCATAGTTCATTCAAGTGAACCAATGCAGAGAATATTTAAATGCTACAAATAAACATTCGAATTAAACTTCATTATAAAATATAAGCATTCCAGATTATTTTATTATCCATTTCTTATGAATGTGACCATTTCTGCATAACAGATAAAAAGCAATTGACAATTTTGCACTGTGCCATAATCAGATAATTTACAAATAAAGCAAATAAATAATGAAATAGAATACTGCAGATAATTAAATGTAAATCAGACCCTGCCTTGTTTTCAGGAAGCATTTGCTGATGATAACATTTTACAGGTCATAATTCTTTAAAATAACCAGTTTTATTTGTTGATTATGAATTTAGATAAAATCAAAATTGTTGACACCACTTATTGTTTGTCACTGTGTAGGGGTTGCATTCAATCAATATGGAAACAGTGCTTCGTTAAAAAATGAACGTTTTAGCAAGTCACCAATATTGTTACTGTGTAGAGATTGCATTTGATAAACACAAACAGTGTTTCTTTGTAGAAACGAACGCTTTATCAAGTAACCAGTATTATCACTGTGTAGAGCTTGTATTCAATCAACATGGCAGCAGTGTTTCGTTAAAGAATGAATGCTTTAGTAAGTCACCAATATTGTCACTGTGTAGAGATTGCATTTAATAAACATGCTAACAGTTTGTCGTTGTAAGAATGAACGTTTTACCATGTCACCAATATTTTTACCCAAAACCATACAGATATCGTTAGATATAAGTGAATGTGACATCACAAATAAAAATAACACTTTATTAATGTTTTGCATCCAGCGTGCTGTTCTGTATTAAACTTCAACAAAACACTCAAACCAACAAATTGAAAACCAAGAATGTATAAATACATGAATACTTGAGGAGCTATGTGACCATAAAAAGAAATTTTGGTTAACTTTGCCTGATAGAGTTTTAGTTAGAGATTTGCATGAATATGTGTACATACTGCAATTAACGAAACTGTCATAATCCATCTGTCAATGAAACACCTATACGACACCCTGTAAATAAAGGCTAGAACTACATTTATCACTGAGAGCAGCATGAATAACAAATACGTACAGAAGAAAAGACAAAAAGCCGTTACACAAAAACTAAAGTACAAAACATGAAAAGGGCAATATTAAGTGTAGAAAATTTTAACCTATGTTTTTATCGAAGAATTATACTTTTTATCTATGCTTTAAGGAAGTTATACCCGTATGTTATAACAGATATACAAACCTCCACTATTCATTATTGAAGCCCTGTGCTTACACTGGCTTATTATTTGCATATTTTTGTTGTGAGTGCAAGCTGGGCACTTGACAATGCAACAGTTTGATTTCAATATAACGTTTGATTTAAAGGAACAATATGCAATTCAAAACATTGCAAACAATTGTAGTTGCTCGAAGTTTTCGAAATTTAAAATTGTTGCAAGATAGTGAATGTAGCTTCAT